AGACTTTGAAAAACACCATTTCTTGCCGAATCTTTTGTTTTATAAAATATTGAGAACCGGTGATAGTGCTATTTTGGAGTCGAGAGTTACGAGCCAGAAAGGACTGTGAAACTGTGAAGGAATTTCTCGCTTTTTTAGTAAACCTGCACATTTTCAGTGGCGAAGTTGTTTTTTGCTGCTCCTATAAGCCACTAGAAACGGCTGTAAAAGACATATTGTCTTTTAGTCGTTAAAGATTTGTTTAGAAGGTTATATTTTGTGCAAAATATTGACAGTTTACCATTCTGTAGGGTTTTGAAAAAAAGCCTTAAAATCAACTTCTTCTGCTCTTTCCTCTTCTTTGTCATCTTTATGCATTTATTACGAGTTTTGATAGTAATTTCCTGTCTGTCTGCAAAACCCATATTGCTGGTTCTTGACAACGTTTTAGTTTTTTTGGCACGCCATAATTTGATTTCTTAATTTGTCTTTGATTGTCGTTACCGCTAATAAGATCCAGCTAAGAGACCTCAAAACCTACTGCTTTGTTTTTGTACGCCAATCAAATCTCAATGATGTTCTCAGTTAATCAAAAAATGTAGAAAACAGAAAACATAGCGATGAAGACTGCTTTTTGTAACCCTGCAGTATAATGAATTGCTGATTTTTTGAAATTAAATACAACTTTTAAAGAAAACCTTCAGCGATCAAAGAATGCCAGACTTTTCTAGCCACCTTTGTGACTTACGAAAGCGGCTGAAAATACGTGAGATTACTGTAAAAACAGTGGATTTTTGTTATTCTAACAGTGCTTTCAAGCTCGTAGCGTTTGACTTTAGAAAAAAACCATCATTTTTTTGATTTATTACAGGTCAAAAAATTTTACACAATATCTGTTTTCTTTTCTGAAACATTTAAAAATATGTACCTTTAAAATGTTTATTTGAGGTCTTTTTTTATTGTTCCTGTGAAACTGTATAGCGTGAATTGAAGAAAAAGATATGACTGATTTGGAAAAGCAAAAATAATAAATCTGTTAAGGTTCTGTTAGGGTTTAAAAATGGGCATTTAAGCAGGAACTTGAAAAATATGGAGGCTTTGAGGAGGGTGTAGCCCGCTGGGAACGGCACTTTTCCAGACTATCTCTCTATTTCTGCCTGCTGGCCTACACCCTGACGATCAGCAAAGTTTGAAACAACTGTAATATAAGAGGTAAAAAAAATTATGATTTAGCGTGGAGAGTTCTTAGCAACTTTTTTGGCTGTTACATACAGTAGATTGATAAGTTTTGCGTACGTAGCCAAAATTTTTAATTACATAAATGTTCTTAAGCAAACTGAAAACCACTCAAGAAATGTGAAAATTATGAGCAGAAATATCGCAAGAGGAGTGAATCTTAAGCTTCTCGATCTCTAAAATTGCATTTATGATATGTTGCTAATGTGCAGTATACAGAACTTGGCGACAGCTCTGCTGATATGAAACGTTATAAGAATTAAAACGTTACTGAAGCAATAAACCTCTGGGAAGTTAGCAAGAAGAGCGCAGAAAAGCTTGAAGCTATCACACGCGAATCAGACAGAGTTGAAAATTTTATACAAAAAAGGTGCAGTTAAACTAAAGGTTAAAAAAAGCATTCTTGAGAGCGATCATACCTGAACCGCCAAAATCGGGTTTCTGATTTCATTCTGTACAAACTCAGAAAGAAATGCCATTTTTAAAACTTTCATTTTTCTCAAACTATAATTTACAGTAGCCGTTCTTCATTGGGATTTTTAGAAGATAATATCATTTGATAAGATTGTTTTTAAGTTTTCGTACCTCAGTTATTTCAACCATTTCTCCTCTAGAATTGTACAAATCTCCGTAACTTCTCCCATCAATAGAGCATTTTTTAAAAGCCATTATATTTTGCGTTAGAGTACCCGTTTTGTCACTAAATATATATTGCACTTGACCAAGCTCTTCGTTCAATGTAGTTGTTCGGGCTCGTGCTGCGACATCCTTCTGCAATTAGATTGGCATCAAAACTAAAAACTTTTTAGTAATTGCAGGGGATGTTTCGTAACAAATGCGTTAACCTTTTCAAAATACATTTCTCTATCAAAGTTGATCCATAGTGAGTGAAAGAACCGAATAACTTCAACACTAAAAAGCATATAGTTAATTTGTAAACCTGATTGCAGTACAAAGCCACTGAATTCAGTAAGATTGTTCAATTTTTCGATGTTATCAAATGGTTTGCTACACGCTCAGCAGTCATAAGATTATCTGATAAATATACAGCTAATGTACAGCTCCGTTTTTTCTAAAGGTGAAAAAAAAAAACTTGCCTGACATACAGCGAGATTGGCATGACGGTGTTAAGCAAAATAACGTAAGAGAAGAACATAAGAAAAGCAATTAACGCAACTTGTGTAGAAGATTTTTCTTCCCTGTTTGGAATGATAGGATCCCATTCCAAATAAATTGTAAAATATCTTCCATGAGTCCACTCCCAAAGTCCACATAAAATGGTGCATATTAAGCACATTGCTGCCAAAAATAACACTATCTGCAACACAATTTAAAAGATCACTAAAATGCTACGCGCAAAGTTACGAAAAATGAAAAGTATATTGAAAAGGAAACCACGAACTTACACCCATGATAAGTATGTTGAGGAAACGATCTAAACTTGTACGTTTAAATTTTGATTTCCCGCTATTCATCATTAGTTTCGTATCTTTACCTAAAAAAATAGTCTGAAGGTAACTGACATCAGCAACATTCTTGGAAGAAATGTTTTTGTTTATAGCTTCATCGAATTTTTTACTTTTGCATCTAGATCTTCTTAGAGTCAATAAAAATATACGCAAATATCAAAATTTTTTCTATATCTTATTTAGTTAGCTTTGCAAATCTGTTATATAAAGAGTTTGTTTTAAATTTTCTCTAATTTCTTTAAAAAGTATTGGCTGTGATACGCTGATAAGAATCTCACTGGAAAGTCTTTCTTCTTATTCCGCTTTTACTCTGTTTTTTATTTATAAAAATTGTTTTTTTAAAAGTTCCTGTTTAGGCAAAAAGGCGGAGTTTTAGCGTTTTCTTTCATTTGTGGAAAAGGTAATTATTGTTACTGTTGTATGTTGAAAACTCGTTGGAATATATTAAAAGTTTTTTGTAAACGAATGCTTTGCGAGAATATAGCTCGAAATGTTTACGATCAGATGCAAATCGCTCAAAGAAGACTACCCTCCGCGCTCATAGTCTCAGTTTAACAACCAGGATTTTATAGCAGCTATGAAGTCGAATTTAGAAAAGACTACGTGTAATACAGTTTTGAAGTTCGCAGTTTCACTTAAGATAAAAAAAAGAAAAGGTTGATTAATAAATGTCATTTTAATTCACAAATTAGCATTGACTGCTTTACGTTTAACACTGTAAGACTCTTTTTCAGCAATTTAAAAATAATCCGTTTTACAAGCCAGGTTGTTGCTTCTTATAAAAAAATCAGAACAGTTTGATATTATTAAGCCATTCTTTAACTGAATGTACCTCTGCCAAACTTAGGTAATAGTCACTGTTTAATGAGACATTTAAAAGAGTGTTGGTTAAAATTAGAGCATACAAATAAAAACATAAAGAACCACACCGTGAAGTTTTAATAGGAAGACAAAAAGCTCGAGCTAAATGCTGTTTTCCTTTCTTACTCTGTAGATTTCTTTTTGATTTTCTTATTTTCAGAAAACTGGAGCTATTTAACGGCGAGGGAAATTTGCCTGATTTAGGGCGTGTGGAGACTTCCTACTTCCTGCAGAAACCTTTGACCTTTAGATTTGTGAAGTAAAATTGGATTGGTAATTTTTAACTAGTTTCTGTATGTCTCTTGCTGTGATGAATTATTTTAATCGGAGGTGAAATTGACCTCTTTAGGTAAAAATCAGATACTGTAAATTTTTGTGGACTGACCTAACGCAGAGGTTGAATAACTGCAACAGTAGCTAAGTGTTGTAAACTGCAAAAGCTTCGGTAGACAGAGCGGACTTGTTTCAAGAGTACACTTTGTAAAAATAACTGGTTTCTTTCACTAAGGATTACTCTCTCTACAATTTAGCTATGAATTCAATAATTTGCTATGAAGCTGAGAATTGTAGGCCAACCTAGCATTAAGAAGACAACACAAATGTCCGACTAAGGTTTCTATAACCTGCAGAAACGCAGGTGGTTGAGAAGTACCCGGTAATAAACTAACCAGCAAAAACAACCACACCGTAACACCATCTTGTATTTCTAAGGACGCAACCTCGGAGAAGCATATTATTGTTATTAATAGGCAAAGAAAGACTTCCTATCACCAATTTTCCCTCAAAACGGTCTAGAACATTATTCGGATGCTCGCATTTGATATCTCCTACAAATTCGAACGGTTAGTGAAAATAAATATGGAAAAAAGAACCTATTGCAGTAAAATCGACTTGGCGTACCTCTAAAACTACTAATTTTGCTTAAATTGTCTCCCATTTCCGCGGTTTCACGTAATGCTTGCCGAGGCTTTAAGTTAGTTTCTCCGTCCAGCTCAGCGGTTTCAACGTAACACAAGCTGTGTGGTTCGGATGTCGATAGTAAAAATAAATCTGCCTGTTAATTGTTCTTTTCACCAACATGGTTAGGTAAGCTTACTTGCTGTCTACATAAAAAAATCATTTCTTTCCAATTTCGGAAACTATTGCGAAACGTGGAAACGTTTGATACAATAGAAAAAAACTCTTCACTTTTTTTT